CTTCTTTTCTTTAATATAAATGATAAAGTAAAATGTTGTGTAAGTGCAAAGATGTGTTAATCAAACGCGTCCCGGAATTCGTAGTTCCAATAATTTCCAGATAAAATAAGTTTTTAATTATATTTACGTGTGAAATGCTATTGCAATATATAAGGCGTGATATTATACAGAAAATTTGAGAAAATATTAAGTTCAAATCTGTGTCTAAGCACCTTTAATAATGAAGGCACCTAGTAAATCATGCGAACTGGATCCTATTCCAACAAAGATACTGAAAAAGTGCACGGATCCAATAATACCAATTATCAGACATTGTTAATTCATCTCTCGATTAGGGAATTTTCCCGTCAGCTTGGAAGGAAGCCTTAGTTTGTCCACTTCTTAAGAAACCCGAACTTGATAAGGAAGTAATGAAAAACTATCGACCCGTATCAACCTTGACTTTTGTTTCAAAAATACTGAAGAAAGTTGTGGCTCGTAAGATTGATGTCCACTTGGATGCGAATTCTCTTCGCGACCCACTTCAGTCGGCATATCGTCCCAGGCACTCCACGAAAACGGCCCTCATTAAGGTCCACAATGATATTGTGACAGCTCTGGACCAACAATCTTCAACAGTCCTTATCCTTCTAGATTTATCCGTTGCTTTTGATGAAATTAATCATAAGATACTGTTCCAACGCCTTACTGTATCTTATGGATTCCGTGATATATAGTGCTCTTGAATGGATCAAGTCTTACCTCAAGAACAGGAAACAGGTGTCACAATTGGATCCGTCCGATCAGATTCAAGACAGCTGCCTTTTGGTGTCCCTAAAGGATCTGTACTCGGGCCGAAACTGTACTGCCTTTTCTCCAAACCAATAGGAACCATGTGCCGTCGACATGGAATGATGTATCACTGCTATGCAGATGATACACAAATCTACATGATTATTAGACCACTGGAAAATTGAAAAAATTATTTCTCTCGACTTGAAGCGTGCCTTAGTGACATTGGTTCATGGATGACATCAAACCAACTCACACTGAACCAAGGTAAGACCGAGCTAATAATCTTCACCACAAGGCAGCATCAGAAGCATCTACCAAAATTACAACTTAAAGTTGGTGATAATATCATTGAAAGCGTGCCATGTGTGAAGAACCTAGGTGTCATTTTCGATCAACACCTTACTATGGAAAAACAGGTAAGTCATGCTATTTCCAAATATGCAATATTGGACGTACACGGTATTTTCTTACAAAAGAAGCCTGTAAGACCATGTTGAACGCCGTAATCACTGCCAGATTGGACTATGGAAACTGCCTACTATATGGAGTTTCAAAGAACGCACTAGAACGGATGCAAAGAGTCCAGAACACTGCAGCTCGTCTAGTAACAAGATTGCAGAAAAGGGAGCATTTTACTCCTATTCTAGCAGATCTTCATTGGCTACCCGTTTATCTTCAGCTACAATATAAAATCTTGACGTAAGTCTACCAATCGTTACTCGAGTTAGTTCTATCTTATATGGAGGATCTTGTAATTGAATACAAGCCCGCCAGATCACTGCGATCTGAGTCAACATCGCGGTTAGTTATTTCAAAAATCAGGACAAAGACATATGGCGAACGTCAGCTCAGTTGGGCAGCAGCGTTTTTGTGGAACGACCTTCCTAATTACATAAAACAGGCCCTGTCCCTGTACATTTTTAAAAGACATTTAAAGACACATTTTCATAGAGTAGCTTTTTAAATACTTGGCGCACAAATTTTAGCAACAAATCTCAAAAGATTTTCTAATATTCACAGTTTTTAATGACGAAATTGTATGTACATGTGTATGTAACTTTAGAATTTTAATGCTATAATTTCTAACACACATACTCGTATGTTAAATTACATGTAATTAATTTATGCTTAGTATTATGTTTATTTGCGTTTTATTGTACAGCGCTTTAGAGTATAATTTTATTAATATTTAGCGCTTTATGAATGTATTTTATTATTGTATATTATTATTAAGTTCTCTGTGCTTTCTTTATTAATATTTCTTCACTTAGGGCAGTTATGTTAGTTTTGAGTTGTTGTAAAACGTGCATTATATATATATATATATATATATATATATATATATATATATATATATATATATATATATATATATATATATATATATATATATATATATATATATATATATATATATATATATGTATATATATATATATATATATATATATATTAAGAACAAGATGTGTTTGTGAAACACTGATGCCCCCGTATGGCAGCTTATGGCCAAGGTTAAAGTTTCTCAAATGCAAGTCAAACTCCAGGTCAAGAGATCAAAAATGTTAGTACCCAAAGTAAGGTCTTGTCCCAAGGAATATACTTGTAAAATATGAAAGCCCTAGCACCAACTGTTGAAAAGTTATGGCGAAGGTTAAAGTTTTTTAAAAGTAAGTAAAACGTCAAAGTCAAGGTCAAATGGTGCCCAAGGGAAGGTCTCGTCACAAGTGATACACATGTTCATGAAATGTGAAAGCCCTAGAACCAAACATTCAAATGTTATGGCCAAGGTTAAAGCTTTTCAAAAGTAGGTCAAACTCCAAGGTCAAGGTCAAAGTGTCAAAGTTGTTGGTATCCAAGGAAGGTCTTATCACAAGGAATGCACATGTGAAGTATGAAAGCTCTAGCACCAATTGTTTAAAAGTTATGGTCAAGGTTAAAGTTTTTCAAAAGTAGGTCAACTCAAAGGTCAAGGTCAAAGATGTTGGTATCCAAGGAAGGTCTTGTCACAAGGAATACACATGTGAAGTATGAAAACCCTAGCATTAACTGTTAAAAAGTTATGGCCAAGTTTAAAGTTTTTCAAAATTAAAGTAGGTCAAACTCTAAGTTCAAGGTCAAAAGTCAAAATTGTTGGTATCCCAGGGATTTATCAGCCTATTTTGGGAAACGCCATTTTTGGGGAATTGGGAAAAAATTACCGGCTATTTGATGAAATTGGGAGAAATTTAAAATGTTGCTTAAATCATGTATTCAGGTGTAATTCATTTAACATTTCAGCATGAACTCTAATTTGGGCAACCAAACAGACAATTAAATATGATCAAACTTCATCATACAAGATCAATTATGAATAATAGACTAGCTAATAAAATTAAAATGACTTCAATGAGTATAAAGTATTTACCTATACAACTTAGGGTAGTACATGTGTGTATGAAATTCCAATTTAGGTCATTATAGAATCTGTTTCTGGAGATTATAAACCTCCTGCAAATAATTATACTAAGTACACATTTTCTCAAAGTCCTCTTTTAATATGTATTAAACATTGAAAATATATTTTTCTATCTGAAATAATGCCTGCAGTCCTTATCTTTCACTCGTAGATCAATTGAGTAGGTGAAAATAACTTAATATATCTATACAATTACACAATATCACCATTTTGAGAAAAACAGAGGAAATTCGGATTAAAAGTTGGCGATGTTTTTACAGTGTTTTTAAACATGTGTTATGACTGTAGCTTTGCTTAATGAGTTAAATAGATGAAAATTACAGACAATCTGACAATTTTACTCTGTGTTCTTCCAAGATAAATAAACATAAAAGCATTGTTCACCAATTGAGAAAAAATACTGCCAAACTGGGATAATCTGAACTCATTTTCAATTGAGAATGGGGCCGAATTTCGGCCCCTGAGAAGGTGCTGATAAATCCCTGTATCCAAGGGAAGGTCTTTTCAAAAGGCATACACATGTGAAGTATGAAAGCCCTAGCACCAAGTGTTCAAAAGTTATGGCCAAGGTTAACGTTTTTTTCAAAAGTAGGTCAAACTCCAAGGTCATGGTTAAAGGGTAAAAGTTGTTGGTATCCAAAGAAAGGCCTTATCACAAGAAATATACCTGTGAAGTTTGAAAGCCCAAGCACCAATTGTTCAAAAGTTATGGCCAAGGTTAAAGTCTCATAAAATTTTGCAAAAGTGGGTCAAACACCAAGGTCAAAAGGTTAAATATAATGTTGATAGATAAGAAAGGTCTTGTCCCAAGGAATACACATGTGAAATATGAAAGCCATAGCTCCAATCAATCAAAAGTTATGGGCAAGGTTAAATTTTTTTTCAAAATTAAAGTAAGTGAAACCCCAAGGTCAAGGTCGAAAGGTCAAAGTTGTTGGTATCCAAGGAAGGTCTTGTCACAGGGAATACACATGTGAAATATGAAAGCCATAGCACCAACTGTTCAAAAGTTATGGCCAAGGTTAAAGTTTTTTCAAAAGTAAGTCAAACTCTAAGGTCAATGGGTCAAAGGTGTTGGTATCCAAAGGAAGATCTTGTCACAAGGATTACACGTGTGAAATTTGAAAGCTCAAACACCAACTGTTCAAAAGTTATGGCCAAGGTAAAAGTCTCATAAAATTTAGCAAAAGTGGGTCAAACTCCAAGGTCAAGGTCAAAAGATCAAATATGATGGTACCCAAAGAAAGGTCTTGTCACAAGGAATACACATGTGAAATATGAAAGCCATAGCTCCAACCAATCAAAAGTTATGGGCAAGGTTAAAGTTTTTGCGGACAAACTGACAGACAGACAGACAGACGGACGGATGGACGGACGGACGGACGGACAGGGCAAAAACTATATGCTCCCGAATCTTCAATTACGGGGGCATAAAATTAAGTAACGTCAGGTGGTTGTGAGAACATTATATCAACTTATGTTTTCTCGTAAGAAAACCCGCGACCTACCTTACATGTATAAGTCATTTTATGGAAATGAATAGATCAAGCATTTGTCATATGGTCGAAGAGGCATAGGTCTTGTATGTGGGAACATTATTTTGTCATGGGTTCTCTTGAACTTAGTCACACAGTAAAGTTACGAGATGACCTGAGCACTTTTTTCGCACATTCTTGTTATTCCGGAAAAAAATCATCTACTACTTGTATAATTATTGTTTTAATTTTAGCGAGGATTGTGTATTTCCTATAAGAATTATGGCCAATTAATTATGGAATATAGTGACATTATTCGTTGTTTAGACGCTTTTAAAAGTGTTAAAGTCGATGAAAAATCAACAATAGGAACTTTTGAAACTTTTTGTGACGCATTAACTATCTGGATAAACAAACCTCATGTTGTAAACCGGCGACTTTGTGGTTCGAAAGTTGTGTATCAAGACAGCACTGGAGAGACCGACCTCCGCAGTTTTATACATAGATGTTTATTATCCTCCAAAGACCTACAAGCATTACATAAAAGAGATGATGTAGAAGAAGTTCCGCCCCTCTCATCTTTGATGGATATGACATTTTATTTTATTCTTCTAGAAATTTTCTACAAACAACAGAACCAAATGTCAACGAAAGAAGCCATAATAATAGGTTTAGTGAATATTGTCATAGACATATGCAGGGCTTAATTAATTGACCCTTTTTACATGTATCAGTAGTGACTTAGAGTTAAATCTAAAGCAAACTAGCATGGCGCCGCGCCATGCTCTTTTCTCTCGGCGCCATGCCCTTTTTTCCTTGCAAAAATAAATAAATATGCCTAGCAGAGGCAAGATGGACTAGCAGCTTTGTTTATTCAGTGCATGCTGATTAGCCCCTTTGTTTATTTAATGCACGCAAAGGTGTGAATTCAGGACAGGATATCACTTCTCGCTTGAACGCACACAGCCACCTGGCCAGGTAACATGCCTCAGGCTGACAGGGTATAAGAGCTAGATAACACGAGAAAATATCATTTGATTGCATTGATTATGCAAGAATTAGCCCAATGTCAAAGATAGATTAATTTGTAAATTAAAATGTAACACATTTTAAATCTGGATCGTTTTTTTTTTAATTGAAAGTAGAAAAACAGAGATGATGAAGAAATGTGAAAAATAAAACTGCTGATGAATTAAGTCAACTTACAATGTACCAAAAAAAAAACAACTGAATATTACGTGTGAAATGGGCTAGGAAACAACAAAGTATGAAGTTAGTTTCTTTCAACCTGTTCAATGATTCTGTGTTCTAACTTTTTGAGGTGACACCCTGAGGCTCAATGTTCTAAGCCAGAAAAAAAGTTTTATCCAATTAATATATTATTTCAAGTTTGATTTTTTTGTTATGATCAGTTTTCACTTGAGTTTGTTGGTAGATTACTTTCAAAATAAAGGGAATGCCCTCTACATTTATTATCCAAGTAACCCCCCCCCCCTTGCAATTTTGTTCTGTTATTTACCTCATCCACAAATAACAATATTAAAGCAAGGGACAAAATTCATACCCCAAACTAAAATAATTCTTAAGCAAGCGACAAAAAGATTCACACCTATTACTTATTAAGCATAACCTTGATAGCCATACTAATTTCTTGATTAAAAAATTTGAATTTAAATTTTGGCAATAATTGCCCTCTCATTGTGTATTGTATGAATTAAGCTGACAGATTTATAAATTTTTCTTTTAGATACTCGTATAACTAAAGATTTCAGTATTAAATAATAATTTAAGTACATAAACATGAAATATTTATAATTTCAAAGACGTTAAAAAAGTGCCCTCATGAAAACTTGTCGCGGCATAAAGTGCCCTTTTGATTATTGGATTACCATGCCCTTTTTAGGGTCTGGATTTAACACTCTGTATCTGTAGCCCTTTCAATTGGAAATATTAAATCAAGAAAGTAGCAAAATTTTTAAATATTGATCCCATATATCATGTTTATTAACTTTTACTGTTGAATAAAGTGTTACATTGTAGTGTAAAGTTTAATTTCCTTCACACATCTTAATGAATCATTAAAGTCACAAAATTCAAGGTTTTTTTTTAAATATAAAAAGCACTGAAAAATCAATTTTCTTGTCATTTGGGAATTTTTATCTAAGCTTGCCAATGGGGGAAAAAGAGAATAAATTTCATTTGGGACAGGATCCTTCTACTGGAGCTGGATGCAGGAGTTATTAATAAACCCTGATATGTCTTTGATTTTGCACAATTTTTCAACAAGTAAAAAGTGAATTTTTAATGGTAGTGTTTATGATATATTAATTGGTTCAATTTTAAACTCATGGTTAACTTAATTTATTCTAATGAAATATTATACAAATATAGATCCAAAATCACTTTTTAGACACAGTTTAGGTACATGTAAATAAAGGGGGTTACAGAACACTGTCTGCCTGGATAATAAAAAAGTCAGATATTTTCAAACTGTCAAAAAACCTGCATGATAAAAATTAACATGTAACTATATACATGTATGTGTATATTTTTGAAGAAAATTCACCATGTTCACAATATCTGCACTTAAGGGCGAAACGATTACATGTGAAAACGGCGACATTTCGATTAAATGCTCTAAACGTTTACGAATTGAGTAAACATTTACATGAAGGTCATTATCAATGTCTATCAGAAGTAAAGATAAATACAAACAAGTTGTTTTATTTCATATTTACCAAAGTCTTTGAAAAGTGTTTCAATACAGTTAGCAAATCGTGGTATACTTAATTCAGGATTAAAAGAGCCACCTTTGCAAGATTAATTTGACAGTGCTTTTTCTAAGTGTGGTATGTAGCCAAACAAACTATTAATGCAATATTGGGTGACGGTGTAGAAAGTGAATGAGTTTTATGCGCTTCATATTCTTTTGTCATAAAACACATGTAAAAACCAACAAATAACTAGTTATAACAACTAATACTTACATTATAGTGAAAGAATAGAGTATTAATTTAGTGTTTCATGAGTAAGTAACCATAAAAATTCAACACAAACTATTCTCCCGTTTAAACGGTAACATTTCGTTTACTGCTGTTTGTTTAAATGTTTACAAAATTCAGTAAACGTTTCACCCTTATCTGCACTATACTATGTATATAACATGTACAAACTGCCAACATTCAATACATATACACACTTTGGAAGGGTACAAGGAGATTGTTCATAACTTATTATCATAACTTTGATTTGTAGTAATGATAATATGCACTCAAATCCAGATTCTTTTTGACATACATTTTTTCCCTGAAGCATCTATCTCTATATTCCCACTCTGAAACTGTTTGTTTTAATATCAGTTTTAAATTGATTTTTTTTTTTTAAACAGATTTTGGTAATAAAAGTGCAACATTCTTACCAATTAATCAACACAAGAGGGATAGTAATGGAGAATGCAATAAAAGTCTTGTTGCACCATATCAGTTGTGCTTTAAACAAGAAAGCAGTCAATCATGGTATGTGATCTAGGGGAAGACATAGATTGGTCAGGAAAATCAAAGATTTGCTATGCAATCACTTACAGTTCAATTTTTTTTAAATAGTTATAATTATTTGTGAACAAATACTTCTTCATGTTAAAGATGTGACTTGATTCCACTCACTGAAACATTAAGTATCAGGTTTATAGTAAAACTTGTCTAATCTGTTTGTTGTGTATTCCTAAATCTTGCACAATTAGTAGCTATTAGTAAATTCAATTGTTTAAAATCTTATCTAAGCCAGTATACTGTCTAATTTGGCAAATTTCTATAAAACCAGTGGTGTATGGATTAGACAAGTTTTACTGTATTTCTTTTTGCACACTTTGTAAATCACCGTGTAGATGTTATCATTTCTCTTATTCATATTTGTAGGATAATCTTGAACACAAGAACTGAATTAGCTGCATCAGAGAAAGGGTATATTGACTGGCTTAAAACAACTTTGTTGACAAAACTAGTCAATTGGAGTTCTGAGAAAAATCTCCGAACCTCTGTAACTTCCCTTAGGTTGGTTCCTGTTGACAGATACAACCAACTTTACAACAGTCTTAAGGATAAATATGGCAGGAAGTTTGTTAAGGTTTGAATTTCCTAATGAGTGATAATTATATATTTTTATAGTTATTAAAAGTTAAGCAAAATGGTAAGCATTTTTTGATAATTATACAGTTATTAGCTATAAATTACACTTATATGTTTTGTGATTGCAATTTTTGCAGATTTGTCCCATCTGCAAAATTATGGGAAAAATTGGACAACCATAGATTTTTATTTTCTGAATACCTATTTACTGTATTATATGTTTATGAACACCTCTAAGGAAGTTTACTAAATGTACTTAGAATTTTCATGTGTAAATTAGGTACAAATGGTTCACATACAGTAATTATACCTTCCTTAATTTTTCTATAGATATGGCCAGAGAAAACAGACCCTGAAAAATTTGTGTATGAAGATGTTGCTATTGCCACTTATTTATTGGTGGGTATTTTGACCATGAACTAATGATGTATTAAAATTTTCTTCTGATACAGAACAAGAGTTATTTCTCTTTGTGATATGTATTTCATAGATCATATGGGAAATACAAAGAAGAGAGCAAAATCGTGAAGAATTACAAAGTTTTGTGGACTTGGGATGTGGAAATGGATTACTAGTTCATATTCTCCAGTCAGAAGGGGTAAATGGATTACTAGTTCATATTTTCCAGTCAGATGGGATAAATGGATTACTAGTTCTTATTCTCCAGTCAGAAGGGGTAAATTGTTGTGTATTGAATAAAAGCAAAAACAAAACAGCACTAAATGAGTAATTGTATTTCATGTTTTGAAGCATCCTGGCCTGGGTTTAGATGTAAGGAAAAGAAACATATGGGATCTCTATGGTGATCAAACAAAATTGAAGGCAAGTCATTGCATGGCAAAAAGCTTTAGCACTTCAGACTGTAGAAGATCATTTTGTATGAGATTAAGAAAGTTCTATTGTTAAAAAGATTTTGTCCTACAAAAGGTGAAGGCCTTTCTCAAGACACAGTAACATATAGTTCATTCTATCTAATGGTAACTCTGAATCATATAATTGTATCTTTGAACAGGAAGAGAGCATAACACCTTCAGCAGAGAGTACTTTCCCTGATTTTGATTGGCTGATTGGAAATCACAGTGATGAATTAACTCCATGGATTCCAGTCATAGCAGCAAGGTAAAAACAGAAAAAAATGTTAAATTTGCATATTGCCTTGGTTTTTAAAACCTTCTTATTGTCTCCCTGTACTACTAGTGTGGTCTTAGAAACCATTAAGTCATTCCTGTATGTGGGTGTTATTTAAAACATGGTTAAGGTGATATGATTCGTTTGAAGTAACTTTAACATTAAGTGTCCTACTTTCAGGTCATCTTTTAGGTGTAATTATTTTGTCCTGCCTTGTTGTCACTTTGACTTTGATCGTAAGTTTAGCCAGAGGGAAGCCAACGAGAGTAACTACAGATCCTACTTGAACTTTGTGCGTGAGGTTGGGGAGGTGTGCGGCTTCAGTGTTCTAGAGGATACCCTTAGAATTCCATCCACAAAGCGGGTCAGTTTCTCTTGCTACTTGTTTTAAAACTTTAACTCATTTTACTGCCATGTTTATGTGAATGGCAAGAAATTTTTTTTAACTTTTTAGAATATATTTATGTCAAATTAACATAATGCATTTTAAAAAAAATTTACTTCTTGTCTAGTTTAGCCTCTGCAATTGATGTTTGCACAGACTTTCCCTTTGCGTTTGGAGTAAAATGAACCTTTTTTGAATTTGGTATAGGTTTGTTTCATTGGTAAAAGCAGAAATTATGAGCCAGAAGAAAACAACCTAGTTGATGACAGGATAGCAAACTATATTAAGTTAAGAAGTTCAAGGTCATTCTCATCAGACAGTGATGGTAACCCAGCCAAAAAACAGAAAACTGATGATTCCTGGTCAGAAGGATTCACTCCTCGGCCAAGCGAAGAGAAGTCTCGTAACTGTAAAACTGTGGATTCAGAAACTGTGAATCACATTGTGAGGACAGTGTTTGATGTGCTACTGAACAGTCCAGACTGTGAGGAGAGGCAGTTAGAGGAGGGAAGGGTGTGGAGGAAAGGAGGTGAGTTTTCACGTTACACAAGTAAGCATGCTTTTTATAATGATTTAATGTATTCTACAGGGTGTCTAAAATTAAGTATTTCCCGTATTAGTAAATAACTGATTTAAAATACACATGTATAATTTGCACTATAATGCTTCAACATCATCCAAGCTGTAATTGTAAGTGGTTTAGATAAATTTGTAGACATATTTTATCAATATTTTGAACAAGATACAATAAATTATAAGATTGTGATGCAGATCTGTACAATTAAAGGTAAAAAGTGTCTTGGTGATGTTGTGAAACTGTTTGATAAGGATGTTCTGAAACAGTTAAAATCAGAGTGTGGTGGGCTACAGACATTGCTTAGGAACCACAACAGTGTATTTAATGGTGAGTATAGTTCATATCATGTTTGATAATGCTTTTTTTTGTTTTCTTTATGTGTACTCTCAGCTTTTCAACATAGTGATATTATTAATATAAACAGAAAAATGCATAGGCTAAACTTAAAGTTGATGGACCCTTAACTAATTTTTACAATAGTAGATTCTCTTACAATGTAGTGTGGTGATATTGACAAGTTTGATAAATGGAAGCTTTGACAGTCTATTTGTAATTAATACATTTAGTTATCCTTTACAATGATGAGAATTTTGACTGTTGGAAATAATGACTATAAGTCATCTGTCAGTATTATCAATGTTTATTTATAATCAGCATTTCCCTGTGTACAGTTATTGTACTTGTGTATATATCTATCATTTACGGCAGCACAGTCCAATTCAGTGACTCTGTACATTTTATGTACTTCTATACATATCTTTCTATCATTTTCAGTGTATGGTGGCACAGTGCAGTTGAGGGATCTAACTTTGGATGAACCGTATAGCAAACACTCTAAGTTATCTAAGAAGGACAAAAGTCAACACTTTAAAACTGTACAGTGCTGGTTCTATAACAATCACCCTGATGGATGTCCCCGAATAGCTGAGAAATGTCACTTTGCACATGGAAAGCATGATATGAAAATAATAGACACAGCCAATAAATAGTATTCAAAAAGGAGATTTATTGTCACAAGTAATTCATTTGTTTTTATTCATTGCTAGTGATGAGCCCAGCATTAGGGATCATTTGTTGTTTTCTTCCAAAGAGGATGGAAATCTAAAACTCTCTCAGATTTCATGTGACATTGCTCAATCCATCCGCAGTAGTTGCATCACTTGCATGCACTTCAAAATTAAGCATCTCTCTCTCTCTCTCTCTCTCTCTCTCATGTGAGTAATACTATTATCATAAGCCAGTAATACAAGGCATGTATAAGTGAATACCAGTAGTTATGATGAGTGAAGGTGCCTCTTCCAAAATTCTACAAAAATACTTCTCTGCTCCTGGATAGTTTAAGCAGATAATCTAAGTGCATGTTATCATGAGCAAGGATGCCTCTTCCAAAACAATGAAATCCCTGGATCAGGGGTTTTTATACCCCACGCAACAAGTTGCGGGGGGGTATAATGTTTTTGACCTGTCCGTCAGTCAGTCAGTCCATCAGTCCTTTTTTTTTTTGTCAGCGCAACTCCTCGTAAACTGCTCACAGAATTTCATCAAACTTTGCAGATATATAGGACACAATGTGTAGATGTGCATATTACCAGGAAATTTCGATTCTTTTATTTTTTCTGGGAATTTCGGCACTTTTCAACTTAGATTTTTGGCCATATCTTGAAGAGATGAACAATTTGTAAGTGCAACTCCTCATAAACCTCTGCACAGAATTTGATCAAACTTTGCAGATATTTAGGACACAATGTGTAGATATGCATATTACCAGGAAATTCCGATTCCTTTATTTGTTTCTGTGAATTTCGGCACTTTTCAACTAGATTTTTGGCCATATCTTGAATATAGAGATGAACAGTTTGTCAGCGCAACTCCTCTTAAACCGCTGCACAGAATTTGGTCAAACTTTGCAGATATTTAGTACACAGTGCGTAGATGTGCATATTACCAGGAAATTCCGATTCCATTATTTTTGCCCTAAGAGTTTTGCCTATTATTGAAGAAACTTTCCAGCTAGGTAATAAGGAAATCCACTGGAATCAGTTTTTGTAATGAAATTTTATGTGCAATATTATATGACCTTAAAAGACCCCTATTGATTTTGAGATCAAAATATAAATGATTTAACACACACACACGCACACACAAAATCTTGGATAGTTCTCTCAATTTTGATTCATTATTTATCTAGAAACTTCAGCCCAATTAAATTTGTAACATATAAAGATTTGAATGTCCTTGTATGCAAGAAGTTTTGATGTGATGATTTTTTGCAAGTAATGCCCCTTTTTGAATTATACTGTGTATTTAACTAAAATGCGCTGTGTCATTCATTACGTGTTGCATTGTCGAGTTTTGGGGGAGCGTGGGGTATGTGAGCTTGCTCGCTTTTTTTTTTTTCATTGGTTTTAGGGTGGGACTTTGTTGAATATATCATGAAAATGCATTATTTCTTTGATAATCTTCTCTGTCCCTGGGTAATTAGCAAACATACTTAGTGCATGGTTATGTTAGGGCGGGGCTCTATTGATTATATAGTGAAAATACATAAATTCTCTGGAAATCTTTTCTGTTTATAGACCAGGTAGTGAAAGTGCATTGTTTCTTTTAAAATTTTCGTCTCTGATTTTGTTTATTCAACAAACTAAAAGTGCATACATGTAGTTATGATGAACAAGTATGCCTCTTCCAAAATTGTGAACTTCTTGGCCCTGGAGTAAAGGGGTTCTGGTGTTAGGGCAGAACTGTGTTGAATCTTCATTGAAAATACATTATTCTTTGAAAATTCTCTTCTCTGCTCCTTGGTATTTAGTAGGCAAACGGAGTACAAAGCTGTAATAAGCAAAGGTATTTTCATGAGATTTTTTTTTGAAATTCTGGACCATTTAGTCAAGTGTTCTTGTCTGGGAAGGTCTACTGAGAGAAGTTATTCCCCTTTTGCTTTTCACCTTTGATAATTAATCACTGTGAGTAACGCATTTGAAAAGTCAATTGAAGAAGAAAATTATGCAAGAAATTTTATAATACATATTACAGAAAGTGATTTAGTAGTTTTTAATGGTCAGGTATACTTGTAAATAATAATTACAGAGACAAAAATACGTGATCTTTGTACATTAAATGTTTGTTAAAATACAAGTCAGATCAGTGTGAAAGAGAATGAGATTGGTTCTTCAATGGTGCTCAAACACTATTGTTTTGTCTAGTAAGAATGGTGATAGTGACAAATGGGGGCAAGTACAGGTAAGTAAATAGTTCTACTTAGTTGTATAGGATTTGTTACTGTGTATTAGACTAATTATTGTATTTCAGTACAAATGTGTCTCCTTGTAGTACACAATAGAAAGGCCAAAGTTTTTCTCAAATTCTATTTTTTTTTTATGAAACTTTGATATTTTGTTCTAGAATTCAGAATATCTGTTTATATGTAATATGAAGGAAATTCAACCGCACATTTATTGCCCACATAGTTTAAAATATAGCCTTTCAACCCCAGTAAGAAGATTGTGAAATCAGACATTCGACTTGAGAATGTGCATTATTTAAAAATTACTATTTGATCTATTCCAAACTTGTGTGATGCTGTTTATGAAGGTAACCTTTTTGTTACTAAACTTCAGTAAAATATATTGATACCGATATATTTGAGTACAATGTGATATAAAAATAGAACATACGTAGCTTGGGAATTAAATAAGCTACACTTTAAAAAAAAAGATCTCTAAAGAGAATATACATTTTTCAATTTTTACAAAAATTCAACAGAATGATTGAAATGGAAGCAGATAAAATTGCGTTAAAGTGAAGAAAATTGAACCAGCGGTTTGAAATGTTTTTGCGATATCAAAAAAAAAAAAAAAAAAAATCAATGCAAAAAAAACAAAGCAAAACAAAACAAAAAACAATAATAAAAGAATCAGTAGATGACGTCACAATGTTTAACATTAGACCTCTTTATATGACCTTGAGCTTTGTTATATTTAAAGAATGGAGACTCTTCATAAATATTCCAAAATCAGGTCACTACTATGTATGGACCAAAAGTTACTTTTCATTTTAAAACAGATGGTAATATCCCATGTAGATGGCATTAACAATTCTTTAATGTAGGTTCCGGAATGACTAATATATAAAAAGTCTCCAATTTTTAACAAAATATGGCGAAAACATGTCAAAGCTTTTTATTTTTATTGACATTATAGTGATGTATTTTTTGTTGTTGTGTTTTATACTCGGTAAGGAATTAGTTAAAACAGATTTCAAGGGTGTTTTGTACTACGTTAATAAATAAGTATTTAATTTTACTATTATATAATAATCAAAATGTGTAAGATACGATAAGCACATATATATTCCAATTATACAATATTTAAATAAAATGTCCATGCAATGCATTCTAAACCCTATATACATGTATCATATGTTTACAATTCATGCCCCCTCCCCCGATGCATGGTTTAGACCCTAAGGTGGGGCTTTCTAAAACATTTTATTGAAAATGCATTACACCTTCAAAAACTTCTTATCTCCTGGAAATCAAGCTTGCCAGTCCAACTGTTGGTATGAATTTAATGAGTACTTAAACTTTTAGCAAATTTTGAATTTAAAATTCAAGAATGCAGGGTCTAGTGTTCTGATGACAGGTAGAGATCAAGAACATCTAGCAGGCAAACTGTTAGCACGACAATAATGAACATTTAACCATCTACCAAAATTGTAAATTCGATGTCCCCTGGCCCATTGTTCTGTTCCAAGATAGGGCTAATTTGGTCAAATCTTGACCACATATAATACATTTTTGAAAATCATACATCATCAACATCAAGCAGTCGAGTTTTTGGCCTGATCATAAAAACTTGCCCTCTACAACAATTCATTCAAACTCCAGGTCCACAGATAGGTTTCTGGGTGTGACTATGTTGGTCATGCATATGAAATTATTGTACTGTGTACCTTATCATCCGTACTCCTGAGCTCCTATGACTTAAGTTGCACGAGTATGATAAAAATGAATCCTGAACAAAGCCGTAAAATTTATGTCACATTTGCGACCAGTGCATGTTCAGTTTTTGGTGGGGCTGACGCGGTCATATAGCCTGACAAACTCTTATGCCCTGGTGAGCAGCAAGGCCCACTTGGCTGTTATTTTAAACATTTTTTGGAAGTCTAGAACATTACTACTGAGTTCTTTTTACAACTTTTCATATAAATTTTGAGGTATGTTCCACAGAAAGTATCAGCCTTGTTTGTATAGCTTTAGTTTTGTCTGACTCAGTTTATCAATGACAACTGTGCCACGTTTCGGAGACAGTGTGTTTCAGTACATGTAGCTTAGCTTTTTCTCAAAGTAGCAATATGAAGTCCCTTTTCAGATACCAAAGTTCGCAGAATTAAGCGAAATAATTCATGAACTTAAAGGGATCAAATCAGGAACAAATTCGATAAAAAAGAAAGAAAATTGTATTTTAAAAAAAGCTAGTAGGAATTTAATAAAGAATTTAAATGAAATCTGCGTTCAAACAAGAGATCAGTTCGTGTGAAGATGATTGCAATGCAATGTATACCAAGGCAAAATGTTTCCAATATCTGACTTAGCAACGTTCGTTGTGATTAAGTATTTTATCAATTATAATCGTTACATTCTAATCATGCATTTATTTAATAAGACCGACTGGTCTCCTAGAGCAGAATTTTTATTTGTGACTTAATACCTGTCGACAATCGACATGAAAACATCGGATAAATTGAAGAAGCATACTCAAAGTTCTCTACAGCTGAAAATCTATCTTATTGAAACGAATTAAATCTTACAATAAAAATATCTCATTTCAAGTCTGGCGGTTTTTGATATGTGGAGGGAATTGATTTTATTTTGGATGATACTGAATCTCAGGGCAGTTCCCTTTATATATTAATGATCGTCATTGTCAGGAACCCTAACTACCTTTCAAACGGTTTATAAAACTGTTACAGGAGAAATTATATGTAACATTGATTTATTCAAATATGATGCCAAAGAAAAAAAAATAAGGATTTTAAAAATCATTTCAACATTAAAAAGAATTGTTTGTTGAAGTAAGTATTTCGTGCAACAGAGAATTTTAAATTGACACCTTGGAATTTTTATTACATGTAAAAGGATTTTTACATTAATGCAGCCAAAATCGTGTCATTAAACATACAGTATTAAACGAGTGATAAAAACGCTAAATTTCGTACCACACACATAAAAATCAAAGAAGACAGATTTTATAAAATTTATTTACAAAAATCATATTCATGATTGCACATGAAGAAATAAATCTAATTAATAATTCAACACCAATTGAAAACTGGTGAAAGAAACAGAGTACATAAAGAAACCTTGTTTATGCAACGTTTAAAATGTCGAGTAACATTAATATCCATTCATCCGCATTTAAAAGCTCAGCTTAAATGTCTTCTCAATTCTCCCCATCCTCGTACCCCACCGAGTCTTGTATTCAATACTATAAGAAGACCCCTATGTTCCCTTTCCTCTGTGCAATCGTTTAGTTCTTACATTTCAACATTCAATATATCCCCTAGTCTAGCAGTGAGATACATCGCGTGGAAATTCTTTTGTATACCGATGGATTGAAAAAGCAATTGGACCATGTTCAGATTATTTTATATGCAATGATTAATGACATTTTTACGAAGGAAGAGAAAACCCATGAACAATACTGGAATCAATAAGCTAAATAAAATCTAAACGTGGTATACAGGGGATTTTCGATCTTATATCCTTGATACGGGATAAAATTCTCAGTATTTACTGAATACAGAATGGAGGTATTTATTCTTGTCTAAGATCGTATTGGATGCTTTACCTATATAGAATAGGAAGTTCCTCTTTCTAGCGACGTCAAAAAAATTAAGGCTTGGAGAGGAGCTAAAGTTCTCTTCGTTTTTTACTTGCAAACGATAAGTTGATTGTCTGGGATATTTGTTTTCCCCACTGGAAGAAAAGTATATAATAGAGATAATCTCATATATCGTTCATACTGAGGATATTTATTGCCCCCATCAATATCTGGCAATAGATACAACACTCAAGGACTTGATTTAAAAGAGTTGCATTTGATAGCGCAATTGAATTTGCCTGCGATACGGACCATTTGGCGATAGTGGAAAATGCAGCACCATATCGCCTAGCAAGGACTGGGGGCAATTTAACCAAGTGTTATATGATCTGGGGTGATAATTGATAGACAATTGACTGTGGACATTATGTAGATGAAAATTAACACCTCAATAAACGGATGTGTATCACGGCCATGAGGTAGATAAGGATTTTACTTCGAAAACAACCGTGTGTCATACCAAAAGGAGAGACATGGACGGCTTACACGGAATTGAAGGTATTTTAACTAACTTTTAAAAAAATCAAGATGTATAATTTTTGACAATTTTTTATATAGTAATTTAATTTTTTCTTTCTGAAAACTCTCTCTCTCTCTCTCTCTCTCAATTTCATTATTTTGAGATGTCGAAGATTTACAAAGTACAATCGTCGTCTTTCAAATTCATTTATTATTGATCACCAAAATAAATTTCATCTATTAATATTTCTTTCATGACAGCCTTGTAATCAATAAAAAAGAGGATATAGTTTGTTGCTTTATCATAAATGGTATAGTTATTTTTAATATTTTATGCTTCAATTTTACCTTGGAGTATGAGAATAGCCCTTAGACAGAACTGTAACAATCTTTGTTAATATGATGCGACTCATTGCTACAGTCTCCCGTGAATAAAAGCTTGATGCGACGTTTGATGAAAATTGTATATCATTAAATCAGTATTAATCATGATAAGTGAATTTAGCCCGTGGAAACCTTTAACTATGTTAGCTAAAGAGCGTGGTTCTATATAATATAAAGACCATAGTACAATAATTCATCCTTATGTATTTGTCTAGAAGATTTCCCGGAGGTATAGATTTATAATAAATTAATTTTACGGATAATCGTTCCTATACTTATCTGAAATTCAAATGGTTCTCATGGGATTTGTATTTTGCAAATTTTGTTTAAGAAACCTTTGCAATCAGCTCGGATACCTAGAAATAGTTCCTCATTAAGTGTTTCTATGGAAACATTTGCTACGATTTATTTCTCATGAAACAAAACAAAATCGATAGATTAGTCTTTCAGAGTACAGAGATCAGCTGTTCTTCAGTAGCGTGGGGATCTTTTCTGATTGATAACTGGGATATAAATTGTCATGTAAAGAAAAGCTTTTCAGATTTATAATGGCTTATTCTTGATGCATCTCTTTTGCTGTCAGAATTGTATACAAATGCGTTTTTCTAAAAAATTAAAAAGCATTTAAATCAATTTTCTTTTTTCTTCAAAGCATCTAATTTTTTATATGTATGTTTACTTTTGAAAAATATGTTGATTCAGTCTTTAGATATTTTAGATGAATATCCATGATTATACCACGATGAATTGGATTTTTTATCTGTATTGTCCAAAGACTCGGTGTCATCGTCTAAATGTAAAAAAAGAAATCTATTCAGAACTGAATAAAATCAATAAATTTAATACCCCTTGATAATGCCAGGATTCAAAAAGACACATTTTATTAGTTTAGGGAACTTTCAAAATATCAAGTCATACTTTTTATAATTGAATCATCAATGGAACCAAAGATCCAATTAAATATTTTTGTGTCCTGAACAACAGGTAGATGTGTAGCTGTAGACTTTTGTCAGTAAGAAAGAAGTCTTTGCAAGGTGTTATTATTTGAGGAATCATATTGACTGATGTCAAAGTAGACCTGATAGACTGGTTTTCATACTATACATGTATTTTAGAGTGGATCAACGTTTCATAGCACATGAAATTGAAAGTGGAGAGGACACTGGGTTTTTTTTTCATCACTTATCGTATAAAGATATTCATAAATTTCCTTCCTGGTATAGTTTAGTATAAATTTGTTGAATGCTGTCCATGATAAATTCATTTTATTACTTAATGACATAATACATCATACTGTATCCCATAAAAACGAGATCGATCATGTCATACCGCTATTACCGGTGAAAGTGTCTTTAAAAAAGACATGTCATTGTATTTATGTAAATAGAAAACGACCCATGCATTACTTAACAACGCTCCAGATATTCTAATACAGAATGGTCGTAAGACTGTAAAGCATTCCCCTCGTGGGCGGAAGAGTGAGTTGCAATGTATAACGAATAAGAGCCTAAATCTTTGAAAAAGATATTACCTGGTCTATCACAAAAAGTCAACTTGGGGGGTGGGGTTGGGGTGGGGGTCTGATCATGATAGATGCTGACTTGATTTTAATGAAAGGCTCTTTGAACAACAATGCCTGCTTAGCCACACTCTCTATCCTGACAGATGGGAATTGTGAAAGCAATATCTTCTTGTGAAGTTTAACGAACTTTTTTTATCAGTTGTACTACCAATGATTAATTTTAGATTTACTAATTTTGGACCTTTTTATACTATTATAAATATCTATCTCCATATAGGATGTTGCTAGTGAAAAAATAGTTAAGCTATTTACTATTAATTTGAGGGTTTTTTTTCCCATTTCAAAAGGAGTCGAAAAGGCTACAATAAAGGTGTTCTGTTACGCGTTAACTGAATGTACATTAAAACATACATTATGCTCTGTATTTTGTGATTTTTCAGCCCTTTTTCGGGAACATAAAAGACTGGCATCGAAACTGACAAAGGAAGAAATGCGGGCCTTGCGGAGTTACCTTGACAACCGATTAGTGGCGGAACATAATGATCTGCTATTCAATATCAAAACTTTGAAGACGAACTTCGATATGAAAACTCTAGAAATGGAAGACACAATATCAAGGCTGCAGAAGGAAGTAGAATTGAAGAATGAACTGATGCAACAGTATAAATCCACGGATACTAACTTAGCAACAGTCCATAAACGCCGAGAGGAAAGACTGGAGAGAGAGCAAACCATTCTTCATTCCGATATGGAAAGACTGAAAACTGAAATTCTTTCTCTTACCCAAGAAATAGAAGTCATTACCCGCGAACGTAATTTATTAGACCGGGAACTCAAAGACGCACGGATTAATATTTCTGAATTAGAGAGAATCGCGGCGAAGGTGGAAGCTGCTGAGAAATTGATTATTGACAATGAAAAACTGAAACAGGATATAATTCGGAGTAAAATGAATGTGGATAACAGAGATAGAGAAATTCAAAGGCTTCACGGTGTGAATGAAAACTTATCAAAAGAATTCTCTGAAAAGAGTAAGTTATTAGCGAAACTGAAAGAAGACTTTGAAAGCTGTCGCACAGAGATAACGCGACAGGCAAAAGAACTGGCTGTAAAATGCGACAGTCTTGCGATTACTAAACACAATTTGAATGCAGAAAAACAAAAGGTGCGTGATCTTGAAAGAGAACTGAAAATGCTGCAAGAGGAGAAAGAACATAAGCCTGAAAATGGTCGAACAGATTCATTGGCATTGCGTGTTGAGCTACTGAACATTCATCAAAAGCACCTGGAAGGAAGGGTACGACTGCTCGAAGAAAAAGTTCAAATGTATCGTAACCAAGCCAGAATTCTGGGTCGTGATCTTGCCAAAATTAACCAAGACATCTCAAACTTTGCTCAGCTCAAAGACAAAGTAGTTATTCATGGAACGACCACTGTCGAAAAATTACTTATAGAGATAGCCGAAAGCCTTCAGGACCGACAAACAAATATGGAGTCCCTACTCAATGATTTATCAACCCAGGTACCTTCTATTATATCTAAAGATGTACTCGCTATCAAGCAAGACGTTACGGCTGTCAAAAAGCAAGCAGAGGCGTTCAAAGCTACAGAAATAGCAAACAAATGTTTCCGTCTTGTTCAACGCATTGAGGCCTGTGAGAAAACACAAATGTTTTTCACACCACCAAAGGGACCCTTAGGCCCTTCTATGACGAATGGTTTAAAGGACAACAATGACAATATCGTTTTGACATCCCCTAAACCGGAAGTAGATAACACAAGGCGACGGTCTGAGAGCATGGTGAACGAGGTTTCCAAGTCCCAGCCTTGTTTTGTGAAAAGGAAACCCCCAACACCAGTGCATCTACTTCGCTCCCGCATGACTCAGCCACCAACCCCATTCTCTGCCTGGCGCAGACGAAGCTCAGTTTCTTTTGACACTTCTCACAGTGTAACTCCAACGTTAATTGACTTAAATTTAACTTCACCTGGGGCCCAGAGTCCGAGGGAAAAATCAAAAGCATTCTTCCCTTAGTAATCACTTGCATAATGATGCATGATTTCTATTTCCTTTCATGTAATTGCCACGTGATAAAAATTGTGAATTTTAATTAATAAGTTAACTCTCTCTCTCTCTCTCTCTCTCTAGCTCAAACAATAAACTTAACAGCTAAATAAAAAGAATTTTTCTCCTTAGTTGATCCTTTTAGGGGACTCTTGGTAAAGACTATTTGAAAGGTGTTCTTCTCATTATTCTGTTTCTAATGTACTCTGGACTTTGGACAGTCGAATTTATAGATAAATGTAGTCTTTTATTTATTCATTGGCTATAGATTTCTATACTTAGTAAATTATAGTTATGTTCATGTAATACCTTATACCAGGAAAGGATGCATAATACTTATCTATAATTTAATCATATTACTTCTGTGGTCATTGCTATCCTTTACTGGATATGTTCAGATGTTCATTGTACTTTTAAGAAAGGTTTATTGGGTTTAGCATTTATAAAAATTAGAGGAGTAGTGAATGATTAAGTGAGATATTTCTAAATTAATCTTTCCTATAGGAACAATGGATCATGAATCCATTGACGTACATGCTGTATGTAAATAAATTTAAAAAAAAGTTAAAGGGGTATAGAATCAGTTAAATTGCCGTTTTGCTAACAATTTTTAAATTTTCTTTATTTGAAAAAAAAACTTCAGTTTAGTGCATTAAACTTTCATGAAATTTCTCTTGTATTCAATAACAATGGCATTCCTCGGTCTTATTTTTATATTACAGGATGTGTTCGATTTTCTAACACTGCATACATGATTGAACACGAACAGAAAAAAAAACAACTAGTAATATGTTGGATTTTCTTTCTTACTTTTTTTTTTTAGTTTTCTTGATTTTAAGTTTTAATTTCTTTTATTTATACACCACAGAAATGCCACTTTTCTTAAAAAATTAAGGACAAATTTAGGTCATGAAAGTGCAAGGATGTAGGACATTCAAACACATCGGAATTTCGTAAGTTGATTATTATCAGAAAACACGCTTTTATAAAATATCGGCCTGAAATGCACTTGCAACTTGAAGATCATGAAATTCTACAGACAATTTTGAAGGATATATACTTCAGATATTTGTCTATGCCTCTTTGATATCAAATATTACTCTCACTTTGTAAGTCAAAAGATGAAAGACCTCTATTTCTTTGTAATAACGCCGGTCTTAGAGACGGTTAATGTTGATAGTTTATCCAAAAACTTTAAAAATGTCAAAGAAATTTTTTTTACTTTGGCATTATTTCTGTTATCTTCTAAAGGTTTTCACAATTATGATAAAATGGAGACTGTGTATTGTTTAACGTACATTTCTAGGAGGATTTGTGCTATTCATTGTACCTAGCAAGACATTTTTTCAAATGGTTCATATGAAATTTAGGCATCGTTTATTATTTAACAAAGCATATTCCTTATGTTTGCTAAAAAAACTTGTACCGACTATTTTGTTATTCCAGTAATGTAAAAAAATTATATCTTTAATATACCATTTTACATTTTGCCATTAAAACAATGTATATATATTAAAATATGACATTTTTCTCGTATTTGCTCTATAATCTAACTGATACTCACAGTTTACTTTCTATGGATGAAATACTTGAAATCGCAATTCAGTGCATGTTTCTGTGTTTAATACTTTTAACATTCCAGTCAATCAAGCTTGGTTCGATCTACCAATCCTGCCCTAACAAAAAAATAATAAAGTTTACTATAGTCAGCTATAGTTTACTATAGTTAACTTTAGTAAATCAAAGTTTTCTGTATGGTAAATCTAAGTATTTTTACTATGAATTTCAGTTCGTCATATTTTATTTCTTTTAAATTCCTACAAGCAATTTTCCTATATTAAAAAGAAATATTACTTGTATGTTTACATTTTATTTAAAATGTTACATCGTTGGTATGCAATTTCAAATATATTAAGGCTCTTAATCTTCAAAAAAGTTCTAGAGTAAAGTTTCATAGTAAATCAAAGTATTTACTATAGTAACTTTATGATGGATTCATAAACTTCATTACACTGATACATTGCCAGCTCCAGCAAATGCTCTAACAAGCCTCTCCTTTGCTCCTTACAAATATATTCACTGCTTTAAAGGGAAAACTTCAGACGTAGTTTGCCACAATTTATTCTAGTGGTGGCGTAAATCAGATATGGATTCTCAAAAACTCGAAAGAACTTTAAGAAAAATTTGTTGAAAATAGCCTCGATTCTACACACAAGTACTCTGTAGTTGACATTCAGAGGATGCTGGAGTTCCTCATTAACAACATATATGTATTATTCGGAGACCAGGTCTTCCAAAAACTTATGTTACGCTTATTGTGCTCCTTTATTAACCGACCTGTTTTCATAATCCTATAAAGCAGAATTTTTCAAAAAAATTGACAAGAAGAAAACATGATGAAAAGAGAACACTTCAACTCAACATTCAAAGATATTTATAGAGGACATTCAATGTATGTTTAGTTGTTGAATATGGAATTTATTTCACGAGGGAATAGGATTTTTTTTTTATCTTTTCACTAGTGCGAAGCACGAGCGAAAAATATCTAAAAATCCTGTCTCACGAGTGAAATAAATTCCATATCCAACTACAAAACATTGAAGTTTCTGTTTATTACATTTTCTTTGATTTCTTTTTCCCTCTGTCTTTTCTCAACACAGTGGCATAGGCTGTGACATCATAATTGAGCGGTTGAGACGTCATAACTTAGCAATTGTGAGATTGAAAACATCGAAACATAGATTTTAGCAATATATTTTGGAGGAAATTTAGTTTTAGTCTCTATCAAGATGGTTTAATTACTATCTCTATGATCTTATGACACGCCAGAAATCACTTTTACTTACTTTGATATCCTTTCACATTGACACAGAATATCATTTTGGTATCCATTCAAACTGTGAAAGAATATAACTTTCATTATTTTTAGAAATAAATCACAATATTGCACTAATGAAAATGTAATAAATGTCGTTTTATCAGTTAACAATAGTAACTTCCATTCATATGTATGATTTGGACATATCCTATTGAAATTTATAATTACAAAGGGATTGGGCACAAGTTCTGAAAACTTATTACGCCATCTCCCTACATGTTAATTACAAGTTGATATTGTCAAATTGTTTAAAATAAAGCTTTTAAAGTATACAATATTTGCATAAATTTACAAATCGATGCATTCTGCAGATATATATGTGTGATTTTATACATAAACATATACTGATATATTAATTAATGCTAACAAGGAAATCTGCCAGAATGTTTAATAAATGTTTGAACAAAACAGCACTCAGTGAATCCCCCTCCGAAAAAAACATGTGTATCTAGAGTGTGTATTTTGTCAAATGGTAAAAGCACTATTTAAAAATTCTTTTCTGGCTCTCATATACTTTGGACAAACAAAAAATAATGATATGTATCCTCTACTTTACCACACACTTTACCACACGTGCATAAAGGACTTGATAATAAATTACAACTGTAAAGGTTGTTATTCAATACACAATTATGTAGTAGTCTGGTTTGAAGAACATTTAGTCGTCTGTTACCGTATTCAAAGTATGATGATGGAGCAGATTTTTTAGTACTAATTTTTAGATTTGAAATTAGACATTGTCTGTATATTTCTTCATACATATATGTCGCCGCGATATACCCCAGTAAACTTGAAATAAAAGACACGAGAGAGTCTGCCACTTCTGTTCTGTTCCATATTTGGACGTTTTTATTGACATTAGACAATAATTCAAAGGGCCCACTGACAACAAAATTGTATTACAAACGAGATGATTTCTGCTTTTCCATCGTCAGCATTTTTAAAATAAGGCAGTCTATCGACAGATAAGTTGATGTTACAGACAGACTTTTATACATTCTATGGTCGCTATAAATATAAAATTAGCAAAAATAAACCATAATGATTATTGGGTTATAGTTTGACTGACGTGTTTCATTGCAATTGTAAGGTCTTTGTATTATATCCAATTTGAATTCTTCGTCTACCTGATCAATACATAGGGCTTAATGCGGGTTTGTCCGGTCAACAGAGGATGCTTATTCCTCCTAGGCACCTGATCCCACCTCTGGAATTTCCGGTGTCTGTGTTTTTTGCCCTATATACATATTTGTATTGTTTGTAGATTTTTTTTTAAATCAACCACTGTTCGATAGTTTTGACTTTTTTATTATTGTAAGAAATCATATTTTAACTTATAAACTTGACGAATATGCACTTACCATTCCTAGTTAGTGATTTCTTTTTATAATAACATCAAAATTGTGCAATGTCAAAAAACATTTGCCAACGAATTGGCGATTAATATCTACGAGTTTTTAAGTGCAGATTTTAAATAACAAATTGTTGAACACTTCACAATGTTTTGTATTGGACTACATTAAAAATGTTCACTGCAGTTCTTTTTTAAAAAACAAACAAAATTGTAAATATACAACCGGTTGGTAGTACTTGAATTTGTCATTGTTTTAAAGGAAAGGTTATATGCCCAGTTCCTGTTATGTATTTCACTTTTAGGTGAGAATCAAAAGATCAATAAAAACATAGAAAATCCTGTAACCACATTCCACAATGATCTTTTAACTTCAAATTCTTTGAAATGCAGTAGCTTATAAAAAGATAATGCCAAGCATTACGTCATATCAAAAGACTTGAAAAGTAAAAAAAAAAAAGGGTTTCAATAAGTTCTAAGGAATAATCTTCAGTAGTGACAGAACTGTATTTACTTGCACACATGAATCGGGCGATTTAATCAGAGAGGTGGGTAAACAAGTCTGTATATCTCACCTAGTATAATAAGTAAACATGATATGTAGATAAAGACCACTGATATTAACGTGGACGCCATTATTTCTCATTACACAATCAACAGTGCGTGTATTCTGTAATTTTCAATAAATTGAATAAAGAAAATAGGAAGTTTTTGTTCGCTTTACTCATTATTTTAATCAAAACATATTATTTTTTTTATTTTAAGCGTGAATGCCTATAGCTTAGCGAAAATTATTCACTCTGAAAAGTTTTGTATATATACAACGAATTTTAAAAATTTCACCAAAAATGAACACATTTTGAAATTTTAATTAGAATATTGCAATTAAATAAAAGTATATCTACTGTTTATAATAATGAAAACATGAAAGAGGTGTTACAACAATGGCAAGTGTCCCAAAAACGCATAAATTCTGAACAGTTATGAAGAAATATCCACAACAATTCATATATCAATCAAATCATTTCTATACTATTTTTTCTTAAACATTTTGGATTTATTTTTCAAAGAAAAAGTTTTTCAATGACAAAAATATCATTTGCACATAGTACAAATTATACATTTCATGAGATTCATGTAAAGATACAGATATGTCTAATTTCAGTGTAATTACAAGCATGATTTAATTAAAACCTTTTTCTATTCAGCTTATCATAAAACTTATGATCATTAACTCTCGATCGTCTCTTGTTCTTTTCATTAGCATGTCTAGAAGGGGAGGGGAGGTAACTGTGTTGCAACCCCCTTTGGATTCGCAGAGAGAGAGTCCCTAACATTTGTTGTGTTTAGTAAAAGAAAATACGAGGGTCATTCAATAAATTATGCAAAAGGTCATTCAAAAAAAGAAAAAGAAAAGAAAACTACGTAAAACATTCTTAATATTTTTTAATCCCTCAAAGTATCCCCTGTCACCCTTTACACGTCTTAAGTCTTTGTACCCATGACCAGAAAACTTCATCTGTAAGGATGTCAAAATTACACTGATGATTAGCAATTCCCATAGCATATCTGAAACTGATTGTTTGAATGGGTTTTGGAATAAAATGATCTTACAAAGACTGAGATCTAGCGAATATAGGGGATGGCAAAGCTCTGTAAACTTTCCTGTCTTCAAAATGTCCTTGAATTACCATGAGAACTTGGACTTGGACATGGGAACTTGGAGAGTATTTGGACTTCCTTTGCAGGAAATCTGCTTATCTTTCCCTAATGCAATTTTATCACAAATGTTACCATTGATGGTCCTTTCTTTCAGTTTGTGTGTATGTACATGCTCTACTGGACCTCCTGAAAAAAAAATATGAAAACATGTTTAAAGTCCTTGTTTCTCTTTAAAATAATAGGACGACAGCTATCTCTCTGATATCACTTTTTTATTGGTCTTTCTTTTTCGGCTATAGAATGTGCACCCATTTTTCGTCATCCATCATGCAAGTTTATCAAGTCTTCTTTTTTCGTAAAAAAAAAGTTTGTTAATAAATAGACAATTAGCACATTTAAAGAGTGTTTTCTCTTAGGAGTTTGTAGGGAAATAAGGCAACTATCAAATAGAAATATTATTATATTCATTTGTCATGTCAGAACTCTATAAATTGTTGTAATGATGAAATGTTTAGTGTCTTAGCAATGTCCATCAATGTAAATCTGGCATATCAGATAAAATAT